CTGCGATCTTTTGCCAATCAAAGTGCTTTGCGCACGGCTTGCTTTCTTTAGAGACTAACGAGCCGCCGCTCCCTCGTTAAGTTCCTGGGGGTCGCGTGTCGATCTGGCTGAGGCGCGTGGGATAGGTCCGCCCCTTTCTCTCGCGCTCTCGCCAGATTGCGAGGTCCTCGCGCCCGCCTCTGAAGCGCGCCCCGGCACTTCTTCAGAACGGGCGGAGGATACTTCATCTCTTGCTTCTGCGGAGATCGAGAGCGCCACCTCAGAACGCTCCTCTCGCGATGTTAAAGCGTATGAGGAGTTACTTGAGGTGGTAACTCGAGCAGTCGAAAGGTTAAAGCTAGACTGGCCGCAGGAGCAGGAGGCCCCCAGGCGCTCGAAACTGGATGACAGATTTCTGTCAGGTGGCCGGAGGAGGGGCCTCAGCGACAGTCTCTCCCCTTCTTTGCTGACCTCCACGACGAGGTAACTCGTTCATGGAGTAAGCCCTGTTCGTCCCGGGGCTACATGATTATGCCCCAGGTGGAAGAGACGCTTGCGGGCTATCTCTCCCCTGGGAGCTCATCATCCTTAAGGAAACCTGTGCTCCCCACCAAGCCTTGTAGACTGACATCTTCGCTGGTGGGGAAAGCTTTCCAAGCAGCGGGTCAGGCTGTTGCTGCCCTGCACACCATGGCGGTTTTGCAGGTGTACAAGGCTGACCTGCTGAATGACTTGAGCACAGACGGGACCATCGATGAAGAGGCGTTTTCAGAACTTCGCCGGGCCACAGATTTGTCCCTCCGTGCGACTAAGCAGACGGCCCGTGCCATCGGCCGTTCTATGGCTGCTATGGTCTCCACGGAGAGACACCTGTGGCTCAACCTCACGGGCATCAAGGAGAGGGACCGAGCATTCCTCCTTGATGCCCCCGTCTCGCCTTCCTTCCTATTTGACTGTCAGCCACCCAGTCCCGACCTGGTCCAGTTTCTCTGAGACGAGAGGCTCAGAAGGAAAGTGTGGCGAGTCGTGCGCCCCCTCGAAGAGACTGGGGAGCGGCCCGCCGTACTTCTCAGACCGCCTCTAAGAGGTCGGACCTGAGTAGCATCATCTCCTCAAAGATAAAGTCCTGAGACTGGTGCGTCCGGGGAGGGGCGCGTGAAGTTCCAACAGAGACTAGAGGCTCCTTCCTGGCACCCTCAGGGGACTGCTGTAAAATCTCCGCCATTACTGGTGTTTCGGGGAGCAGCGGCCTCCAGCGAAATGTTACGTGTTCGGTTGTGCCCTGCCTCATACGCTTTTTCAGGACGCCGGACATCTAACATCCTCCCAACAAAGCGAAGTGTCAAAATTAGTGCCCCTTTCAGAGAAATTGGCAGCGTGGAAGCTACTGCCAAATATCTATCCATGGGTAGAAAGGACTGTAGAGAAAAGCTACAGGATTCAGTTTACTTATCGTCCTCCGCGTTTCAACGGCGTGGTCTCCACTTCCGTGAAGCCGGAACGAGCGCATTTGTTGACACGGGAATTGCAAGCTCTGCTGGACAAAGGGACCATAGAACGTGTTCCCCTGCCAGACAGAGAGTCAGGCTATTACAGCCGGTATATTCTGGTTCCCAAGAAAGATGGGGGGTTGCGTCCAATTTTAGATCTTCGTGGGTTGAACCGCAACCTCAGAACATACAAGTTCAAAATGTTGACAATCAGGATGATTGTGTCTCAGATCCAATCAGGCGATTGGTTCGTGACTATCGATCTCAAGGACGCATACTTTCACATAGAGTTCTTGCCACAACACAGGAAGTTCCTGAGGTTCGCTTTCGGGGGCGAAGCTTATTAGTATCGGGTTCTTCCGTTCGGCCTAGCCTTGTCACCCCGCACATACACAAAATGCATGGATGCAGCTCTGGCTCCTCTACGACTCCAGGGCATTTTAAATTACATAGACAACTGGCTGATTTTGGCTCAGTCTCGGGAGCTAGCGCTTCGACATCGGGATGTCGTCCTAGCTCATCTCGAATCCTTGGGGTTGAGACTCAACGCCAAGAAAAGCGTTCTCTCTCCTGCTCGAGACCAACGTATTTGGGTTTTGTATGAAATTCGATCACGATGCGGGCACAGCTGTCTCCTGCACGCGTCGAATCCATTCTAGACACCCTAAAGAACATCAGGCTAGGCCAGAAAGTTACAGTTCATTATGTTCAAAGGGTTCTAGGTCTCATGGCAGCTGCATCCATGGTGATACCTTTGGGTCTCCTGCATATGAGACCATTTCAGTTGTGGCTCAGAGCCAGGGAATTTCATCCAAGGGTCAATCCCCAGAGGCAAATAAGGGTTACGCGCCAGGGGCTTGGTACCCTTTCTATGTGGTTCAGACCCCGGTTTCTGACTTTGGGTCCCACTCTAGGTCCGTGTTGTCGTCACAAGATGCTAACGACAGACGCTTCCCTCACGGGCTGGGGTGCAGTCTTAGATGGCCGTCCAGCCCAAGGGATCTGGAGAGGTCATCTTCTCGAATGGCACATCAATTGACTCGAAATGATGGCTGTATTTCGGGCCCTGAAATACTTCCTCCAGCAGTTAAAAGGCTACCATGTCCTAGTGCGGGTAGACAACACGGCGGTAGTCTCTTACATAAATTGCCAGGGCAGACTGCGGTCGCGCCGCCTGAACAAGCTAGCGCAGCAGGTTCTGCTTTGGGCACAGGACAAGTTCCTGTCCCTCAGAGCGATTTACATTCCGGGGCATATGAATGTGGGAGCAGACTTGCTGTCCAGACAAGCTGTGACACATGGGGTATGGAAACTCCACCCCGAAGTAGTCAGTCAAATCTGGGAAAGATTTTACGAAGCAGAGGTGGACCTCTTTGCTTCACAGGAGACAGCACAATGTCCCCTCTACTTCTCTCTGACTCCTCCAGCTCCCCTGGGTCTGGACGCGATGGCCCATATGTGGGCCAGACTGTGTCTTTACGCATTTCCTCCGATCGCTCTGCTCCCGGGAGTCCTAGCCAAGGTCTGTCAAAAAGGGTCTCGCCTCTTACTGATAGCGCCTCATTGGCCGACCAGAGTGTGGTTCTCAGATTTAATATCCCTCCTCGATGGCTCGCCGTGGGCTATTCCGGTCAGGAGAGATCTTCTGTCTCAGGCACAGGGGACAGTATTGCATCCCCGGCCCGAGCTCTGGAACCTTCACATCTGGCCTCTGAGGGGGACCGACTAATTGATGCTGGGCTTCCAGCCGATGTAATACAGACTATTCTAAGTGCTAGGGCTCCCTCCACTAGAAGAAGTTATGCCCTCAGATGGCGTGTTTTCGAAAGATGGTGTATGACGCACCATGCAGACCCAGTTCACTGCCAAATTGTTCCAGTGCTGGAGTTTCTTCTAGAGAAACTGTCCTCAGGCACATGTCCTGGTACTCTCAGAATCTATGTGGCCGCCATTTCAGCTTGCCATGCTCTGATTGATGGGGTTTCTGTGGGAAAGCACCCTTTAGTCGCCTGCTTCGTTCATGGAGCCAAGCGGTTAAGGCCGCCCACTAGAGCGAAAGTCTCTTCATGGAACTTAGCTATAGTGCTTGAGGGTCTGGTCGACACCCCTTTCGAACCACTAGAGTCAGCACCTGTCAAGTTTCTGGTCCTAAAGATGATTTTTCTAATGGCTATTACTATAGAGAACTGGGGATTTGCAAACTCTGTCAGTCTCGCCATCCTGCCTAGACTTTGCCCCTGGGCTGGTCAAAGCTATTTTGCATCCTCACCCTAATTATCTTTTCCGAAAGTTCCATTCTCGACCAAACATCCTTTTGTTCTTGAAGCCTTCTGCCCTCCGCTGTTCACGACACCGGAGCAGGAAAGACTTCACTTACTGTGTCCAGTACGTGCTCTTCAGGTTTACGTCCACTGCACCAGCCAGTGGCGTAATTCGGAGCAGCTTTTCATATGCTATGGGGGCCGCAAACGGGGGGCAGCTGCCACTAAGCAAACTATGTCACATTGGGTGAGGGATGCTATTGCCCTAGCCTACGAGGCGCATGTCAAGCTTCGCCTCTAGGAGTTAGGACCCATTCAACCAGGGGGGTTGCATCTTCTATGGCTTTAGCAAGAGGTGTTCCCTTGCAGTAAGTGTGTGATGCGGCAGGCTGGTCCTCTCCGCACACATTTGTCAGATTCTATCATTTGGATGTCCGTGCTACTCCGGGCTCACGGGTCCTTGAGTCAACATCCCAGAGTCATGTGTGAGACCTCTTCAATGCTTGTGCGCACACACTACACAACCTTGGGGGGTCCAGACACTTGCAGTACGGCGGAGTTGGTATTCTCGTTCCCATAAGCGTTATTGAACGCAGCATCGAGAGTAGCTTTTGATAGGGAACGTCTCGGGTTACTTGACTGTAACCCTGTTCCCTGAAAAAGCGGGAACAAGATGCTGCGCCTCAATGCCACACTGTAGGCGTGCCCGGACGTCCTTTCAGACAAAGGTGAACCTGAGGATGTGTCCATTTCACGTGTATTTATAACCTCTCAGGTGCGTGTAATTAATGACGTCACCTACCGAGGTTATTTAAGCCAATTCTATTTGACACACATTCTTCACAACCGGTCGAACAAAGAATGTTCTCATAAGCGTTATTGAACGCAGCATCTCGAGTAGCTTTTGATAGGGTCACCTACCGAGGTTATTTAAGCCAATTCTATTTGACACACATTCTTCACAACCGGTCGAACAAAGAATGTTCTCATAAGCGTTATTGAACGCAGCATCTCCTTCCCGCTTTTTCAGGGAACAGGGTTATAGTCAAGTAACCCGAGACGTTACTTGTAATGCGTTATCTTCAATACAATGTGTAAAATATGGCTCTTGCATGCAACTATTAATGTAATTGAACTAATTAGATCGACTCAAGTATTTAATTTTTGATTCTACTTTGAGAAAATGTCATTGAGAAAATATCAATAAACTGATTATATTAAGCTTGGTCTTTATGAAACAGTTTGGTGAGATGTGTCTTTATTCTTCCAGAGCCCCCGAGACCCATTGCTCCACCTCAGCTGCTGGGTGTCGGGCCCACATACCTGCTAATCCAGCTGAACGCTAACTCCATATTCGGGGACGGCCCCATCATCCTGAAGGAGGTGGAGTACAGGATGACATCTGGAAGCTGGACAGAGACCCACGCCGTCAACTCGCCCAATTACAAGCTGTGGCACCTGGATCCCGACACGGAGTATGAGATCCGAGTGCTGCTGACCCGTCCGGGAGAGGGGGGAACTGGACAGCCCGGGCCGGCTCTCATCACCAGAACCAAGTGTGCAGGTCAGTCCGCTGGTACATATTCATTTCTGTATGTGGAAGGGATTAAAGTGGTATGCACACTTTGCATTTTTTGTTCTATCAAATTTCAGGTATCATAAAAGATCCATTTTGTCATAAGGAAAAATAATAATCGCTTAGTGCTTGTTAGCTGATTAATTGCCAGTGCTCCCTGAAAAGGAAAGACTTCCGATTGCTTTGTCTGCAAATTTCTGTCAGTGCAAACAGCCCTTAAAGGGATCATTCACCTAAAAAGGAACATTTAAATTTTTTTCAAACCTGTATGACCCTGCTTCTTCCGTGGAACAGAATAAAGAATGTTTTAACTCTTATTGTCCACACAATGAAAGCCAGAGTCAAGTCTAATCACATTTGTTTATATAGCGCTTTATACAATACAGATTCAAAGCAGTTCTGTCATGACAACTCTCTGAGGGATTGGCATGGTAATGTACATGATAATGTTAATGTATTTGGTCTTGGCGGAATAGATCTGCTCCGCTGCTGCTGCTGCTGCAGAGCAAGTACCGAGACTTGCTACTGCCAATACATCCACAACATGCTGCTATGAGCATGTAAGAAATACTGCTGCTGCACATATAACATACATGAAATAACCCCATATAGCATACATGAATCACCTAGTAGCAAATCCTTACCAGGTGGAGCTGGTGAAGGAGGAGGGTTTCTGAAGTGCGCTGCAAAACTGCTACAGCAAACAAAAGCCAGGTATTTGAATATTAAGCAGTAAACTCATTGACTACCGATACAGGAGAGAACCAATCAGCTGCCATGTGAAAATGATGTCGCCAGGTCAGATTGAGCTAGACCTATTGGACTGCGCCATCTAGAGTTTAATGCCAGAACTCTGTATATATTTATAAAATATAGATCTCACAATTCTGTGGATTCTGTGTCAAATATTCACTACCTCTGCAAATCATTGAATGAGGCATTGAGATTACATTGCCTCACCTTTTACTATTCCGAGCAAACAGTCCTTTGCCTAAATATAGACATGATCTCTGACATAACAACCAGGCTTTTGCCATTTTTTTATATTCTTGCTGTGGCCAGTTATGTACTTGGCCCAGCTTACACTGGTTTGACTTGGAAAACATTATGCTTGGGTGTTTTGTTGAGATCCCTTCGAGGTGAACATTGGAATGCTGAATGACTAATTCTGTTCAATATGGCTGCCAAGTGTGTGTACTGTATCACTCACTGTGCATGTCTACATATTAGTCTGGCTAGTTCCTATATCCAGTTCTCTAGACCTATCAGACTGCGCCATCTAGAGTGTCATGCCAGAACTCTGTATTTAATAAACATGAAAATAACAGCGTTGATGTAAAATGCATCAGTTATGAAACAAAAATTCATTTCAGCTTGTAAGCAGCTTTACAGAAGACAATAGTGTCATTATTCAATTCAGTTGAGTTCAATGTTGATTCAGTTCAGTTCAATAACAGTGCTAATGTTAGTGTGACTATCAGCTCAATTCAGTTCAGATTGTGTTTCATCTGATTGAGTCAGTACAGTCCAATCGATAATATTACTGAATATCAGTGTCTTTTAAAGCCCAACTGAGAAAGCCAAAGGTTACAGTGGCAAGGAACCTAAAATATCAATTTTTAAGTGAACAATCGCTTGCCGTGTAAATACAGGAGGTACATTTTGCCTAGTTTGCACCGGTGTTATTTCATATATACACTCCTACTCTGATCATACAAGTGCAAATACACACAAAAAGGGCCAAAATGCAGACTTTGGGCTCCCCCGGAACAGATGGAGGTTCGGGTTCAGCTGCAGTCTCATAACGATCCACAAGCGCCATCGAAACAAGGATCTTCCTGTTCCAGCTGCAGCACACCTCCACTGAAAGTGTTTTGTTTTTGTCCTCTCAGTGTGTTGTATTTGCACATAAATAATTGCCTGGAGCTTCTTCAGAAACATAATTGGAAAATAAAGTAAACAAGTGAGCGTGCAGAGCAGCTATCATTGATGCCACTCACTGTGTAAGTGTGTGTGGTGTTTATATGTTAATCATGGCTCAAACCATGCGCTGTATACCACCGCCCTTATAAAATTGGAAGCACACGAGAGCAAACACTCAGTCACACCGCATATAAGGGCCTCGTGCCTTCATTTGAGCGCTGTGATGCGATTCTCTCCACGGGTTCGATGGCTTCCGTATTAAACGTGGCAAGACTCGGTGAGGACAGATATACGGCTCGTATGAGGAGTCACGGAGCGACGAGTGTCTTCCGGAAAGTGGAAGAGAGAGAGGAAAGAGAGGAGTGTATGCATGGTTTCATTACGGAGAGATGCTCCGTGTCCCCAGTGGCGGCACAGTAGCGCGGCCCACTCGCTCGCTCTCTGATTGAAATTCAAACAGGAGCTCCTCTCCCCCATCAATCGCATTTGAACTTTCATATATTTTTTTTTATTTTGGCAAAAGACATTTTCCAGGTCTGCTTTAGATGGAGCGCTCGCTGCTTTTTCATCTCCTTCTAGCCAATCACACGCTTATCTCACCTCGGACAGGGAGAACTGAGTGGAACCGGTGAATTTACACAATTACATTTAGATTGGTGCCAGTCTGCCCGAGTGCTCTGTTTAAATTCATATTTTCTCTTTCTCTGTCTCTCTGTCTCTGTCTGTCGGTTAGTTTCCTGCTAAGCCATATTGTCTGGAGCTCGCGTGGCGTGCGCATATTTCACATTTATCAATATTATTATGTTTGGCAGCTTAGTTTATCTTGGTTGTGGGTATGCATTTTGAAAAGGCCGACATAGAGGAGGCGTAACTTCCTGAATGAACATCGTCACCTGTATGTGTCTGAGCACAAGCCAAACACACCGATTCTTTCCACTTAAAGCCTCGCTGAAGCTCCCAGCCTCGTGTCTGTGTGTGTGTTGAGCTCATGATTAGGTGTGTCTCTATCACAGCCGTGTTCCTGAAAGCTCCAAGTTCAGCAGACGCCCCTCAGGCCTTAACAGTGTTACAAACTATTGCTCAGAGCCGTCCCACGCTCGTTTGAAATTTTCCGGTTTCGTCCCAAATATCTGGAGAAGAATGCTATCCTTCAGCATTCCTATTCATCTCAAAGGCAGTAGCTCTGATTTCAGACATGCAAAGTAACAGACAGTGGTATAAAAGTATAAAAGTGATATAATGTAAGATTCACTGGAGTGTTTTTCATGAAATTTCAGCAAAAATCTCCAGTTTATTTCCAGTTAATCTTATTGCTTTCTAGAAGTCAAGGGGTGACCACCCATCCTGCATTTTATTTAGTTAATAATAAATTGCATACATAATTTTTTTTTTAGTTAATAAAAATTGCATACTGGGATTACCAGTGTGCCACTGGAAAAGAAAAACAGGCTACAAGTTCAAGATGCATTGAATTCCGTAAAAATGCATGTACTCAGCTTAAAAAAATAAAAGCTTATTGGCGATATAAAGCATATTATCATGCAATGTCACTGCAAATAGGCTTTCCATTTAACATTAGTCAATATTTACAAAGTCTATTAATAAGATACCACTCAACAGAGCAACAACTAGGTAGTCAACCTAAGGAGACATGGTTCTGATATTAAAGCTATATTATCGTATTTGTAATTTTTCATTCTTATTGGTTGATTAATCTGAGCACAGATTGAAATGTTGTTCAGACGGAGACATTCTGAAACTCTAGCAGAGACTTGTGGGATTACTGGGGGCTTTTTGTCAGGAGAAACATCTAAGAAGCCGTCGACTTCAGCATTTGCTCTCTATTTAATCATATTGCTGTGTAGGAGAAACATTTGAGATATTAAGATGATCTCATTTGTGATTTCAGAAAATGAAAACTAGATTCAGTTCCTCCCGATGTCATGGGAATGTAATCTCTGTCATAATGAAAAGTAACAAGAGCAGCAGTGATCTTCTGTCTCAGGAACATTCGCTTTTTGTTGAACTTGTGGGCTGTGAGCGTTCAGAATGGAAAAGGTTATGCCTGCTTATTTTTTTGTAGACACACATACATTGGAAAACAGGTCCCGTGCGTGCACGTGTTGAGACTGTTTCCTGATTATCAGTGCAAGAAAAACCATTATGACAATGTTCCAGGCATCTCTGCCTCTGCCTTTTTATTTGGTACAAATGTCAAGCCATTTCCCTAAAATAGCAAATTGATCATGTTTCCCCTGATTCCCTGTTAAATAAATGAGAAGTCAAACATTGCCTCAATCATCATAGTACAAGTCAGTGCAACGTCTATAATGATGTCTGGAGAAATAAGCGTGAACTCGAGATGGAATTGAGTCAGTGCCCTTTGCTCAACACCATTCAGACGGAACGCAGACAGACGTCAACACAGACTATCAGGGATTTATTGCACACTGGTTTCTAGACTGAAGATGGCTTTAGCACAACTAAAAGAGATCTAATTTGAGAGAGAACGGACTTTGTTTCACTCAATTCACATTTGGGTCAACTGAAAGAGGTGTGACTTTGGTTTGAACTCGAGTGTGAAAACTCATGAAGAGTAGGGATGCAACGATACCATTTTTTCAGATCCGATCCGATCCAGAAAATTCGGAGTATTGGCCAATTCCGATCCGATCCGATCCGATACCAGCGCAGTTTTTTTTTTTTAATCAATGTAGAATTTCTATACTTCTGTGTGTTGACCTGATCGTCACTCTTTTGTGTGTTAAACACAGTCTACTAAATATAGACAACTTAATTTTAATGAAAAATAACTAATGAAAAAAACACAATCATAATCTATGACATATAATCATAATCTATCAATTATAAGGCTATTAATAGAAAGGCTATTAATAACTATAAATTAGATTATTAATAGTCTTTCTTGTTCTGTCCTATTATAGCACAGAACAAGAAACGCTATAAATAATCTTTCATTTCGCAAAAGTATTATAATACAAAAACACAAAGTGCTTATGCGTGCACAGAATGATGTGCTTGAAGCAACACGGAGTCACAGTGCG